GCAAGCAAGCAAGCAAGCAAGCAAGCAAGCAAGCAAGCAAGCAAGCAGCAAGCGAGCAGCAGCAGCAGCAGCAAACAAGCAGCAGCAGCAGCAGCAGCAAACAAGCAGCACAGTAAACAAGCAGGAGCAGGGACACGCCACTGTTCACAAATATTGACATTGCATTGCAAACCTGGAAATCTGTGCTTCTGAACCAACTGGTGTGACAGGACTGCAAAATATGTGATGCAAATTGCCAGCCTCTGGGATGCGTTTTATAGTATGATCTTTTATACGCCAACAGCAACGTGGGCGTCTGCACCTGTCAGGCTGCCGCACCTGTCTGCGTCGCCATGGTTACCATGACCTTCCGCTCAGCTTCCTGCATCCAGGCCGAAGTACCCACGGTGATCCACGGTTCCCGTGTAGGTTCACAAGTTGTGGTTTGAACTTTAGGTGAAGCCAGTGGAACAGCCAATGCAAGTGTTCCACAACAGCCACAGTCTACACGTTCGGCACCCAGTCGGGCCCAATCAAATCTCTTTCCTTCGCACCCAGTCGTATCGGGCCTCCAAGTGGCTTTGCAAGAGTACAGTCATCGGGCTTGAGGGGGGCACCTAAAGACAAACGATGCGGGACCACGGCCGGCACTTCATGGCCAATTCTTTCCAACATGGCAAATTCTTTCGGGGGTTCAACAAGATAACTCATTTGAACATGGCAAACTCTATCAAATTCTCTCCAAACGCTTCCAAGTTTTAGACGTTTCTCATCGTTCCTCCCACTGGATGTCGTTTGCTTCACTGAACTGAACCCCCACCCATTGTCTCTGAGGAGCATTGGCGGTCATCGGGACGGTCGCCAGGCACGCAGCGGAGGCCAACGACAAAGGATTGGGGAATGGATGGCCTTAACAAGGACGCTACTAGGAACAAGTGCATCGCTACTAGTAACAAGTGCCTTACTAGTAGTAACAAGGACGCTACTAGGGGGAAAGTCTTCAACACGTGCACTCCACATCCCTCAAGGGAAATATAGCGACTAGGCCAGATTTGTGTGCAAGGGACAGTGGATGCAAGCAACTACAAAGACTGTTTTGTTGAATAGGGTCCTAAAGCAATGATCAATGATATGCCCCGTGCTTTACTTGTGTACAAGCGGACTGTCATTGCTGTCATTGCCATCAAGAATCCTCAACCACACACCATAAGTAACCGAGCGACATGCATTCTCCAAGTCGTCATCCCTCCAAACTGGAGGCAAGGGTTGTGTGGACAAAAGGCTGGGCGTGAGGCCAGGTGGAGGCACCACTGGAGCCGGCATCCCGAAGGGGAGACCCAGCGAGCTCAAGTCGGGAACTGGAAGTCCGAAAGGCAAAGCACCGTTCGCCTCCAAGTCCTCCACATCTGTTGTTCCGGTGGACGGGGTCTGAGGCATGTTCTCAGCTCGCTCCCGCTTCTCTGCACGGCTCGACTTGCGGCGCTCATGGGAGAGATGGCAAAAGCTGCAGCTCAGTCCTGCGTCCCAATGCAACCAATCTTCTGTTTCAAAGTGTCCGATCCTTCTGTTTGCTGCTTGTTTAAAGTTGAAGTGAAAGAAACACATATTGACTGAAAGCACATGCAAGAGACCGTTCTGGCAGCGCCCTTTTGGATAGAAGTTGCAACGTTTGCAGGTTCCAGCCGCGTGTTCCAACGAACCAAGCGATGGCAAGGCGCCCAAGGAAACCGTCTTCAGGTCAGCATCATAGTAGGGGCTCGCCAGGCCTGGTGGGCTGGGATTGCTGTCCGAAAGATCCTCATAGATGGAGTCCGTGTTGATTTGTAGGTCACGGTCACGATGTGAGCTCCCTTTCACATCTTTCAGTGGCATGATGCTCTTCTTCCCCTCACCTTGAAGATGTACCTGACATCGAATAAACACAACAAAAACGATTATGACGATTCACAAGAATGTCGAGCATCAAACATCATCCAACTCCGACAAATCTTCTAAACTCAAGGGAATCAACACTTCCTGAACTGAAGAACTTGTCCCAAAACGTCCCTTTCAATTGCGGATCCCGTCGTGTCTTGAATCTCCTGAGCATCCGTGCCATGTTGGTGATCTCACCCAGCGCCGGGCGCGCGACCGGCTGCGGAACGAACTCAGGGGCATTGGCCTCGAATGCGAGAGAACCAGACCTGAAGAAACGGGTTTCAATGATCCTCTTTCAGCTCCCATGCTTCAAGAATGAGGCTGAAGTCACCTCGAGAAACTGGATGAAGTTTGCTCGGATGAACTCAGTGTATTGTCCATACACTGCCGTTACCTTCAACGCAGCAAAGCATGGAATGGAGCCAGGGAATGGACTTCTACCTGCCTGTTCACCCTCCACAAATTCATGCAAAGGGGCAGAAAGAGCACATGCTTTGCCAATGTCCGGCTGCTGACACCTGAAATTTGGAGGCCAGGGTCCAAGCTGTCAAAGATCGTCAAGCACATGTCTCATGCTTCGGTCACATATCTCATTTCTCATCCCCCCGGTGACAAAACAGTCTGAAGTCACCAAATTTTGAGCGACCAACCAATGCTCAAGTGCGATTTTAAGTGGACGCTGGTCACTCGGTCACTTCGAGCGCCTGGGTGTCTCAGCCTCTGTGCGGCTGAGTAGTTCCAAACAGTCCTGGACTGAGTCAAAGTGTAGGCAATGGGCAAACTCAAGCCGCCAATTGTCCCGATTTGTTTGCAGGCTAAGGCTTTATTGACAGCAATGTTTGCCACTCCAAATGCTCTAGAGATCGAACTGCCAAGTGGCCGGAGCGGAGCTGATTCCAGTCCACACCTGGCAGACTGGAGAGACTCCAATACTCCAATACTTGAGCTGGTTGGGACCCAATCTTTTCGGATGATCTCTTTCAAATGATACCGCCATGTCTGGCGCGTCGTCACGAAGAAACTCCACACTTTGCGTTCACTGGACGTGTACACCGATTCACACAGTGCCTTCACTGCCCTCAGTACCCTCAGCATCCCTCACCACTTTCGCCTGCGGTGTAACGGCCGCAAGGGTGTTGAGTCCTCAAGAGGTAGCCACAAGAATACTCTGATGGGCCGATGCAGAAAACACGCCATGCTGGTGCAAGACACCCGGAGAAAGTGTTCAACAAACTTGGTGAATCGAATCGGCCCAGGCCAAAGGCGTTAGAGACTTTTGTTGAGTTGTAGACAAGGAGACACATTCGGTCTGCCCAATCAACAAGAAACTTGCAAGTCAAACCTGGCAAGCAAGCGAACACACAAAAAGAATACAATTTTACAGTAGTCATTCCAAGTGAGTACCTCTTGTCTTTCTGAAGCACAGGTCATGCCAGCGGCCCATTGTCACTGAGTCTCCTGTGGGAAGAGGCCATGCGTTGCCACGTGCTCTAGGCTGGGCTGGCTTGGCTTCTTTTCCTGCGATTGGAAGGATCGCAAGACGACTTGTCCAATCACACGACTTTGTGCCTCATAATTTTAAGTTGGATAACTTTTGAATGCCTTGCCATTGCCTTCAGAACTTCACCGTTCGTGTAAGTCTTCGAAACATCTGGAAACATCACGCTGAACTAGACTATTGCCAAACTAAGGGTATGCCGACGCATTCAGAATGTGAGTCGAAGGGTCCAATCTTCGGATTCTAAACATGCACCAGAAGACATCCGAAAAGCATCAGAAGACCCTTCCAGCACAGTTCCCAAAAAAAAAGACATGTTTTCCAATATAATATAAATATATATATATAATATTATATATTATGTATATTATATTATATTATATATATATCTTTCATTCGAGTTGAAATGGATCCCACACCTTGCACCAGGCCAGGTGGCTGCACACGAGCACTGCCAGGAGTGTGAAGCCTCGAGCCAGCGCAAGCGACAGTTTTGGGGTGCTTGGGATAGATAGATTTACAGTACCTATTTGTTTACCTTGGGCCCTTGGGATTCATGTCCACATTTAAGCTCATTACATTACCTACAAGTAGTTCACAATGTTTAAAGCGAAAACCCGAAAACCTAGCTGAATAATGCCGAGTCAAAAAACGTCATTTCCATGCAACTGTCTTCCCTTCCTGCAAACGTCGTCAACCAGCCAGAACATCGCAGAATCGCTGAAAATCGCCTCTTCGGATCAATCCGGCGAGTCGTTCGCTCAGAATCCTCAGACCCTCGCGAACGAGCCAACTCGCCTGGTGGTTGGAGCTGAGTCCATGTCGCCCTCCGGCACGGCACGCTTCATGTCCACAACCTACCGAGTCGCCGGGGTCGCCGGGTCGTGCTCGGATGAGATCCCGAAAATGCTCGTGCGGTCGCTGGGATGGCCGGTGTCAGCGCTGACGATTGAGAGATGAAGAGATGTCAACGTGCGTTAACAAAAAGCACTTTTTGTGATAGAATATGATCAAATGATATGTTCCCTTCAAATCCCTTGCACTTGGATCTTTGAGGAAAAGTCATGGCTGGTGTCTCCTGGTAGCTTGCGAGCTTCGCATGGCTTCAAATTAATGGCCTGATCAGATCCATCGGACCATACTTGGCATCTTTCATACGACGGTGCTCTGAGTCTGACACCGCCATGTCAAAGGCAGAACCCGACCCCACGTTCACAAATCCCGTTGGCTGGCAGTTCTTCCATGACGAGGGTTTTTGATCCGAACCCACCGCACGTGCCGAAGCACTTGACTCACTGTGCTGCCCGGCGCGGCCATCAATGATCTGTGGCTGGGCCAAGCACAAGTCAGCCGCTTGTGGCGAGTCCAATGTGACATAACCAAAGCCACCTAAGTCTAGCTGGAAAGCGGTTTCTTGCTTCTGGCAGCGGCAGCCTCCAGGCTTCCAGGTTTGCAAGCTCTAATAAAAAGATCATGTCAACTGCTTGGACTGTGAAAAGGTTTTTGAGTTCATTCCCAGCCCATGCAGAATAAAGTACAGCATGTCTTCTTGAGTTGCATGGCCATCAATTGTCCAGCCTTTTGCTTTGAGGAAGCGTGTTGGACGCTTATATATATCGAGAGGAACCCATATATATATATATATATGCATTTGGTACCGATGATCCCGATGGCCTTGAGGCAAGGGGCAAAAAGAACGCACGGGAAAACAATCCTTCAAATCTACCAGCTCAACTAACAGTAACTGTATTATCTGTATTAACATGTTTTGACTAGTCATTCAAGCTGCCATTGAAGGCACAAAAGTCTCATGTTCCCGTTTCCTCCCGGAACGTGAGACCGGTCACCCTCCTGGTCCAAGCAACGAGGACGTCCATCTGGCTGACGCATCGCAACCTGCGTGGCTGACGAAATACAGCCCTTGCACCAGAACAAGGGGAGATGCCAAACAAGTTGTGTTGGTTCAGGTAGCTTACTAGCTTGTTTGGGATTAAACACAATCAAGTTGTGTTGTATGTCCATGAGACAAAAAGAACCAAGACACTGTGAGACACACGTCCTATCTTCGATAGAACGGCAATGCGGACCAACAGCCACCACTAAGGTGCCCACACAATCCAACACACGTCCATATGCAGAGAAATGATCACGGAGCTGCTTGGTCCTACCAGTTTGCCAATCACTGTCATGTTCATTCAACAAATAATGTGATTCAGAAAAAATCATCATTCCTCTCTGCTCAAGCACAGCAAAGCTTACACTTTATACTTTATTCAAACTGATATATATATATATATAATTAGTTATATAATATATATACAGTCATTGTTATATAGTTATATAATATATATATGGTGTTTTGCACTTTCCACAGCTGTCATCAATTCCTGGTCGGTTTTCCACCGACTGGTGACATATCATGATGCAGAGTTTCTCCATTTTACCGTGTCTTTCTGAGTTTCTGCTGCTGACAACATGCTTGTATCCCAAGTTCTGACAAATTCTGCGAAGCATAGTGGCAGAGTTACTTGCCCTACTGGGCAGTTCATGGTCTAGTTCTGCAGCTTTTGGTGTTGTTTTCTTTGTAAACTCTTCATTGTTTTACCGTTTAGCTATGATGCCGTAGCTATCATGGACATTGCTCCACGCGGATGCTTTTTCATCAATCATGCAAGGTTGACAAGCGCGAACAAAGTTGTGCAGCAATGAACGCACAACAGAACAACAGATTGATACCAACAATACAGAGTATATATGGGAGTTGATCTAAATTCCTTTATCCGGGATCCGTCATTTTCGCAAAAAAAATACTTTCGCCAAACTTTCGCCTTCCTGCGTTTTATCTTTCGCCGAAGTACGTTGTATTTATGTGTGCCATGTATGTTGTGTTTTGTTCACGTCAATGGCTTCTTCTTTACTGGCAAACACAAAATAGAAACTTCACTGTTTGTCAGCATGTGTCTTCTACTTAACTGTTGACACCCTGTACGTCTCTTTTGTTTCTCCTGGGTGTCAGCAAGAATCAAAATTGCAAGAATCACTGTAGTAGCCGGTCACTCAAACTTACTCATAATGGGCTGGGGGTCAGATGTGGCAGGGTGAACTTTCGCCAATCTTGAGCTGAACTTTCGCCAAACTTTCGCCTTTTGCGGGGTAGAGTTTTGTGGCAAAGCCACCCCCCAAAGCAGGAGCAGGAATAGTAGTAGTAGTAGTAGGAGTAGGAGTAGTAGTAGTAGTAGTAGTGGTAGTGGTGGTGGTGGTGGTAGTGGTAGTGGTAGTGGTAGTCGTAGTAGTAGTAGTAGTAGTAGTAGTAGTAGTAGTCGCAGCAGCAGGTTATCTAACTTCCACAGCTCATCTAGCTTCTGAGTCACTGCCACCAGCTGTTCAGAAAGCAAATGAACATTCATACAAAAGTACATATTTAATCTTTCGCCAGATCTTTCGCCAAAAAAAATTTACTTTCGCCAACTCGAGAAAAAACTTTCGCCAAGTGAGATTTTGATATGTTCCGGGTCATCGTCATACACACTGCTGACTAGGACCTTTAGATCGACAACCATATACATGACATGATTATAGAATATCTTTCATACGCATCATGTGTGCGAGCTGGAAGAAATAGATGGTACTTCTATGGGCAAGCACTGGCTACGTCAAGCTGGTGGATCGCCACCCTACAAGTATGTCAAGTCGGGCAAGTGGCGTGAGCAGGTTGCGGAGAAGAGTGGGCTGTGAATGAGCAGGTTGCGCCGGTAGTGGCAAGATCTAGAACCCTTAAGCGATCTCGGTGGCACGTGTTCTGAGTGCTTCAAGTTCGCTGGTCCAGTGTGCTCAAGTTCAAGGGTGTTCAGTTGCAAGGTTTTCGCATGGAAACATTTTGCAGTTGCAAGTTTGGTTGCTCCCAGCGGTTCCTTGATTTGCTCTATTCTTGCCGAACACACAGTAGTTGCTGAACATTACTGTATTCGTTCCCTTTGCGCAAAGCTTGCAGAAGATTGAATCAATATGGATTCCTTCCGTGCAAATACTTTACATCCGTCGTCTTGGCAGCAAAAGGGACTTCATACTTCATGTTCAACCCGCTTCAAGCTTCGTTCCACGGTTGCTAGGGCCGGCACGTGGTGTTGCGCGTGATGCCTGTCACAAAAATGGCAGGTAGCTCTTGCGGAGTTGAAGAGGTGAGTCTTCTCAAGAAGCTAGTAGAAACAAGTGCCACGCTACTAGGAACAAGTGCCACGCTAGTAGTAACAGGTGCCTTACTTGTAGTAACAAGAAGCTCTTGTTGATGTTGCAAAGGGTATTGGCAGTTCGTGGGGTCAAAGGCCCATGTCATAGCTGGGTCGGTCTACCCGTCATCCCCCCCCGGTCATCGAAGCCTCCAATAAAGAGCTTCGTCGGCCGGGTGACAGGAGCCATGCCTGGTGGAACATCCAATCGGATGAAGCCGTCATCTGATTTAACATACTCTCCGAACTAACATGAAGGTGGAAAATACCGTGTTCGTCAAGGAAAATGGTAGTTCCAAGGGGCCACGTTCCACTTCCATCCTAGTTCCAGGGAGTGTAACTGAACGAAGCGTGGCTTGGTGTCATCAGGATCCGTCTCTGAGTTGCTGAGCTAAAGTCACCAAAGTTCATTTGAGTCATCTCTCTTGAAATCAATGTGAAACACACAAGCAAGTCTTACATTAGTCTTACATTGTACCACTTGCCTTCCGGCGTGGTCTGCTTTGCTGCACCTGGCCAAACGAAGTCAACGAGCGGAAAAGGTCCATCATTGACAATTGACAATATCGTCTTGCCTGTTTCTACTAGCTTCTTGTTACTACTAGTAAGGCACTTGTTACTAG